ACTGGGCCTTGTCTCAGTGGTACAGCCCTGCCTAGAATCCCCCCCGGTAATGACTTAGGGTACGGATCAACGATGGAGTGCTTCCTTGGAATGTGGGAGGCACTGGATTTCATCTCCACGGGAGGGAAGAGAGAGAAGACAACTGGAAAAGTAGCCAGGGAACCCAGGCTAGAGGAAAGGTGCCCCATTGTGTTGGCGATTGTGGCATAAAGAGCCAGGACCCAGGTGTTCGTTCTTAAGAGCCCGATCTTTATTAACTTTAAAAATTCATCTCTCTGGCTCTGAAGTGAGCTGGCTTGATCTCTGGTCCTTTGGCGATCTGGAAGGATCTTGTCTAAATCAGAGCCCCCAGAGTTCTGAGACCTGCGGGTCCAGTCTGGCCTCTGTGGCTTGAAGCTAAGGAGAAGAGCGTGCATCTGAGAGCCGGACCAGCACGAGGGTCTGGGGTTGGGATAGGTAGGCCTGCGGTTGTCTTGTGAGGAAGCCTCACCTTCTAGAACTGGTCTGTCCTGTTCCCCTTTCAGGGAACTAGGCATCTGTGGCCAGGCTGAGCCCTCCCCTTCAATGAGTAGGCTTCCCTCCCTGGACTCCACTTGGTGTCAAGAGGAGACGGGGAGGGCTGTGTGCTCTGCTAGGAACCTACAGGCAGCTGGGCTAGGAATACTAGCCACACAACCAGCCACAGCTCCCACTCTGCTGTCAGACCCTGTCGCCTTCTCCTTAGAACCCCTAAGCAGCAGGGGGAATGGACGGGTAACATCTGGTCTTGAGGCACACGGGAAGTTCTCTTCCCTCAGATCCAGGGGTCCAGGTCTCAGCCCTCCTCCCTCAGACCCAGGCATCCAGGATCTAGCCTTCCTTCCTCAGACGCAAGGGTCCAGGCCCCAGCAGGCCTACCTGGTCCCTTTCCATCTTTCCTGGCCCAACATCCCTGGGCTCGCGGTCCCGCCCTCACCTCCCGGGGCCGCAACTGTTCCTCCTCGCCCTCCTCCTCCTCCTCCTCGTCCTCCTCGTCCTCCTCAGGCACGGTGTCCTCGTGCGTGAAGGGCACTGCGCAGGCGGGCGAGTGGAAGCGCAGGCGGTAGAGCAGACGCACCCAGCGGCCGAACTCGCGGTCGCGGGTCTCTGCCGGCGCGCGCAGCTGCAGGTAGAAGGCTCGGCCCGTGCGGAACTTGACCTTGAGCTGTTGGCGGCTCTCATCGTGCACGAACAGCTGCACGAATTGCAAGGGGAACAGCCTGACGGGGAAGGAGCGGCTCAGTTGCGGCGTCTGGCACCTCCTTGTTTCTCTAGCCCGGTCGCGGTCTCTACGGGGACTCGCAGTTTTGGATAGGCCGTGGAACGCCTATGGTGGCCCTCTCTCTCATCCTGGTCCTGTCCCACTGCCAAGCACTCACAGCTGTACCTTCACCTGGGCCCCTTCAGGCCACCAGGGGGCCATGCTGAGTTAGCATCTTAGCCCAGCCAAAGTCAAGGCTGGTTCCTGCCTGTGAACCAGGAGCCCCTGATGGGGGAGGTCTCGTCCGGCCTATTTATAACCTCCATCACCCCATGTGACAAGACAGTTCTTCGCGTACAGTTTCCTTCACCAGCGCCTATGCGAGCTCCCTGGATTCTGAACTCTGGCCTGTTTGCCCTAATAGGGTACACCACTGAAAGGATGTTTGTGAACATTTGAATAAGCAAATTGCTCAGGCTTTCAGCTAGATTCCAGGCCCAACAAAGGAGAGGAAGGTGCAGTCCCAAGAGCGTGAGTCATCTGGCTCAGGCCACGTAGCAGTGGGTGGAAACAAGGCCTGTGTCCATGACCCTAGGGTCTGTTGGCTACAGCAAGCAGTGGACACGGCGCCCTCCTCTGGCCTCTGGGACCTGTGCACCACCTCCTCATCCCTGTGCACGCAGACACATAGCACATGCCCCTGCTAGTGACCCCAGGTCACTGCACAAAACCTGTGTCCTTCGGGGAACAAGGGGCGTCTAAGTGTAACAGCAACTGATGACATTTACTAAGCCAGGTGCTCCAGGGGACAGGGAGGAAGGACTGCCCGCCCTCCCTCAGTGTTCCAGAGCAGGAGACTCAGGCCCAGGACAGAGGAGACCATGACGTTTGATCCCAAGCTCTGGGATTGCTGACTTGTTCAAGAATGTCCCAGCCACAGGGACAAGCTGGACAAATGGAGTTGGCTCCAGCAGTAGCCTGGAGTAGGGGGGTGGGGCTGACTGCTAACAGGGTTTGTTAGCTGATGTGGAACAGATTGTGGCATTGAGCCTGGCCCTGAACTCCCGACCCTGCTGCTCCTGAGGGCTGGGATTACAGTGTGGTAGCACTGCTGTCTGTAGGCAGGTGAGGACCGGGTCACAGGGACCCTAAGCTTGCTGGACACAGTGCAGCTTACCAGGGCAGAAACCGGCTTTGAGAAATGGTCTCCATTGGGCAAGGACATGATTGGGTGAATTCAGGCACTTTTTCCCATTTGGCCCTGGCTTACTGAAACTTGTAGGTCAGGATGGCCTTAATCTCAGAGATTTGCCTCTCAAGTGCTATGATTAAAGGTGCGAGCCACCATGTCCAGCTAAAATCTTCCTTCTCTTCCCTCCCTCCCTCCTTCCTTCCTTGTGTATGCTAGGCAAATGAACTATACAGCTCACATCCTCTTTAAAATGACTTGCATGTATACATGCTCTCAAACGTGGTGGCCACAGGTTAATGTGTGCTCCTCCATCCCCCTCACACCTCAGCTTCTGAGACAGGGTTCCTCACTGAACCTGGACCCAAATGACTGGGTAGACTGGCTGGCCAGCAGCTCCAAGGACACTGGTCTCTGTCTTTCCCAACACTGGGATTACCATGGGATCTGGCTTTTAATTTTTTTGGTTTTCAGGACAGAGTTTTTCTGTGTAACAGCCCTGGCTGTCCTGGAACTCACAGAGATCCACCTGCCTCTGCCTCCCAAGTGCTGGGGTTAAAGCTGTGTGTGCCACCACGCCCAGCTGCTACCCGGCTTTTTTACATGGCTGTTGGGAATTTAAACTCAGATCCTCATGCTTGACCTGTGAACACTTTACTGAGTTATTTGCCTAGTAGTCCCTTTTTACTTTTTATCTTAAGACAAACGTCTCTCCAAGCAGGAAAAAAAAAAAAAAAAAAAAAAAAGACAAAGCCCTCACTAAGTTGTTCAGGCTGGCCTGGAAGCCAGTCCTAATTCAAACTGGCCATAAACTTGTAATCCTCCTGCCTGGGCTTCATAAGTAGTTGGGATGACAGGCTTGCACCATTAGGCTTGGCCTTTTCTGCTTTCTTCCTGTCTTTCGTGAACTGAGGTAGGATGGGAAAGGAAGCAGGTCCACAGGAATGCCCGAGCGTGCACGTGTACTACATGTGTTTGTGGCTGAAGCAGGGCAGGGTCCCAGGTGCCCTGAGCCTGAGGTCTGTACTTGGTGGGACTCCATTTTCAGTGAGAGGAGCAGAGCTCAGTACTTGAACTCAGTACTTTGACTCAGTACTTTGACATCAGAAATGTGAGGGGCCTCAGGTTCTACTCCCAGCTCCTGGCCTGCTCTGTGGGCCCCTGGGCCCTGAGCCTTACTTTATCTCTCTGGGACAGAGAAGCACCGGAAAAGCAGAAAGCACTGTGTAAACTGCCCCCACTCTGACCCTGTGGTGTCACTGAGGACTGTCCTCCCTCATCTTGCCTGACTTGTGACTTTTGGGAATGTCCCTGTCATCTTTCTGAGTAGAGAGGCCTGGTAGGTGTCGGTGGTCCCCAGAGCTTGGGCAGCAGAGTGGAGTCTGTAAGGTTGGAGGAGGCTGGGATCAGGAAGGGCAGTCACCCGAGGAGCTGCAAGTGTCCACTCTCCTTGTCAGGGCCAGCCAGCAGCAGCAGGTCCGGAAGCTCCAGGGCTGGACTAGAGGCTGCCACCCCCATGGTGACCTTGTTGGCGACTTCTCCAAACCGTGTCACCTAGGGCCAGAGGTTAGAGGCAGGATAGACGGAGAACAGAATTGAGCAGGGATTTGGTGGATGCTGGGAATCTAGACAGGGTCATGAACCAGGGGAGCTGAAAGGAGGTTAGGGGCTGGAATGGTGCCTAGTGCGGGGCTGGGGGAACGGAGCTAAGTGGTAGAGCTGCTGCCTAACAGGAGCGAGGCCCTGGGTGTCATCTACGGTACCACGAAGAAAAACAGCTGTGGGACAGGTATTCAAGAATGAAAGGCTAAGAAGCATATGCGTGTGCAGACAGAGGTTGCTGAAGCCACAAACGAGCCGGAGGGTTGGCGATTTGAGGTGGGAGGGTTCGGGGGCTTCCACCGGGCGATGGATCATGGGGGCTGGCCACAGTTCGCAGAGCAGGGGCGGAGGTCCGGGGCTCCACACCTGCACGAAGTTGCTCTCAAAGATGGGGAAGTCGCGCAGCTGGTCGAACTCGCCGCTCAGGAGGTGACGCTGGAGGCGCCCAGGGCGGCAGGGGGCGTAAGCTGGAACCAGGGGGCGGTCTGCAGGGGCGAAGGGCTGGCATCCACCCCAGGAGGCCAGGTACGAGATCCCCGACGCGGGGCGCACACGAGGCAGCGGCCTGCGCATGGCGGGCCCCATTCCTTCCCGGGCTCCCTCACCAGGGCCAACCCCTCCGGGCAAGGCTCCTCCCCTCACCTGCCATCCCATCTGAACCGGCCTCGCCAGCTCCGCCGGGGCCCGGCTTAAGATCGCGGCCGCCCTTCATCGCCACGCCCCGGCCCTGGGTGGGAACGCAGGGCGGAGCCAAGGCCGGAGAGGTAAGAGGCGGGGCCTGACGCCTGTGACATCACAACGGGCGCTTAGCGTTCGGTGACGTCACGAACGTCGCCTCTCTTCCGGGTGCGCCCGGAGACCCGGATGGAGAAATGGCCGCCGTCCCTGACGGAGCCGGCGGGCCGGTGCTAGTGCGCAGGGGCGGCACTCGGCGCAGGCGCACGAGGCTCAGGATGCACCCTGGTTCCCAGCGTGCTTTACGGCGGCGCTCCGCTCTTGACAGCTCTTCGGGATGGTGGCGGCGGTTGCTGGGGTGACCCGGCTGCTCGTGCTCTTGCTGATAGCAGCCGCGGCTCCCAGTAGGGCCCGAGGCAGCGGCTGCCGGGTCGGGGCCGCCTCGCGCGGGGTGAGTGCTTGCGGCCGGGGCGGGGCGGCCTCCCGCGGGCGCTAGATGGGCTCGCACCGTGAATATTCACAAGAGGATGCGCTGTGTTTGCAACCTAGGCTGGGCATGGTAATGCACGACTCTCATTCCAGCGCTCAGGAGGCTGAGGCTGGAAGGTCAAGGAAGGAGTTTCAGGCTTGGGCTGCATGAGATTGTCTCAAAAATACAAACAGCGGGTGTGACGGCGCAAGCTTTCAGTTCCAGTATTCGGGAGGCAGAGACCGGCGAGTTCGAGACCAGCCAGGGCTAGTGAGACACGGACTCAATAATAAAGGTGCAGCACTAGTGCCCGAGTGCGGGGGTGGAGTCGTGTGTCTGAATATTCATGAGAAGCCAGGACCTATAGCCAGTGCGTGCTTTAGGATGCTTTGAGTAGGAGAAGCTTGAAGTTCAGACGCAGAAGGAGGGCTTAGGCCTTGGCGTGGGGGTGCAGTCTTGAGTTCGAGGATAGCCTGGGCTACCTTAAAAAGAGGGGGAAAAAAGTGCTGGAGAGATGGGGGAGCAGAGCACTGGCTGCTCATCCAAAGTACCCGAGTTCGATTCCTAGCACCCACCTGGCTGCTCATGACTGTAACTCCGGTTCCTGAGGATCAAACACCCTCTTCTGGCCTAGCAGGCACCAGGCATGCACATGGGGCTCAGACGTAAATGCAGCAAATACCCATACACAAAATTCAAAACAAAACAAAAAAATGAAGCCGATAGTTGTGATACTTATCTGTAATCCCAGTGTTCAGCAGGCTGAGGAGGATCGTCTTGAGTCTATACCAACCTGGGAGTGGTTTAGTAAGACTATTTCAGAACATGGAAAAAAGTGAGGGTCAGGGATACCCTAGGCAGGACTGGAATTCTTGACAGTGTCAATGGTCAGGGTGTGCCAAGGAAGCCCGTGCCTGTGAACTGTGACCTGGGGAGCAGAGCATGGTGCTGCTTGCCTGTACCCGCAGCACTAGGAGGTGGATGCAGAAAGTTAGGGTGTGGCTTGGGCCATGCAGTGAGACTGTCCCAAAAAAGAAAGAAAAGAAGCAAACCCCAAGCACACAAACATACAAAAGATAGTGACCTGGGCTTTGGACACAAGAGTAGTATTTAAGCATGTTTATAGGATTTCCTTTTTTTTCTTTCTTTTATTTTGGTGTGTGGGGGGGCAGAGCTTTGAGACAGGATTTCCCTGTTCTGGAACTAGCTCTTGTAAACCATGCTGGTTTCAAAGTCACAGAGATCTGCCTCCCAGGTACTGGGATTAAAGACTTGAGCCACGGTAGCCCGGCTCTAGGGTTTTCTTTTGAGCTATGGAAATATACATCATTGATATTCATGAGTGGCAGTCCTGGGGAAAAGCACCTCTAATTGGATGTGAACAGGAAGATAAGGCTTGTCCTTCAATCTGCCATTCTGTCCTAGGGCCAGGTGGTTCTGCCCTGCCCAGAATTTGAGTGGTCTTTACCTGGGGCTCCTGTCTCTCCTGCAGGCTGGGGCTGATGGCCGTGAAGGTGAGGGCTGTGGTACTGTGGGATTGCTGCTGGAACATTCGTTTGAGATTGGTGAGTTCAGTGTGTTGTCAACCTTACAAATATCCAGCCTATGCAGAGAAGCATTTTTAGATGCCTCATACCTGGCTTCAAGGATTCAAGGGTTGAATACTTGTCTGGCATGCCCGAAGGCCTGGGCTGCATCTGTGTTGATGGAAATCACCAAACACTACACACACACATCCATAGATACATATGCATACACATATGCACACATGTACACGTGTGTGCACATGTTCATGTGTATAATATATACATGTGCATATAATAAATGTACATGTGTGATGACTAAAGACACTCCATTTTATGCCGGGCAGCCATCTTGATGCCCACTAGCTGTTTGTCGCTGACTCCAGCACCTGGAAGATAACTTCTCAGTGACCCAAAAATGTATGGCTGTGACCATCTCCTTGTTATCATGTGGCTAGTTGTTTTTTTGGCTTCTGTAACTTGCTTATGCAGATACTCAAAGGTTGTTTTGTCTTAACCCTTTTGCAGAACAGGCCTGTTTTTGCTTCTTATGTAGATATTGAAGGTCTTCTTGTGGTTTTCACCTTTAAAAAACCCTCCCCATACCCTTCCTTTGCCAAATGCCTGCTGCTCTGCTAGCAACTAATCAGTAAACTTTTGAATTATAATTGGATTGAGTCCATGCTCTTTTCCCAGGGGTCAGAAACCCCATAACACATGCATGTTCTCTTTCTTTCACATTTTTAAATTTTTCTTTTTCTCTTTTTTGGTTTTTCGAGACAGGCTTTCTCTGTGGTTTTGGAGCCTGTCCTGGAACTAGCTTTGTAGACCAGGCTGATCTCGAACTCACAGAGATCCTCCTGCCTCTGCCTCCCGAGTGCTGGGATCAAAGGCATGTGCACCACCACTGCCAGGCTTAAAATTTTATTTTCTTTCACAATTCCATTTACAGTCCATTATAGTAGGGAAGTCAAATCGGGAACTTCAAGTAGCTGGTCATATCACATTCACAGCCTAGAGCAGAGAATTAATGCTCGCCTGCTCACGTGTGCTTAGCCTCCTCTCTGCATTCCAAACCTAAGGAATGGTTCCACCTTTAGTGGTCAGGCCTTCCTACCTCAATGCATGAAAGCAGACATTCACCATAGATAATACCCCCAACCCAGCCTGACCTAGACAGCCCTTCATTGAGACTCTTCCCTCGAGATTCTGGACTGTATCAAGGTACAATTCTAGGCATCAGGGCCTCCACTACTCATACTCATGTAGTCAGCTATCAAATCGTGACAGGGTCTCCCTCTATAAAATGTACTTTTGCTTTGCTCTAATAAAGTTTATATGTGTATATGTAAATAATACATACACGCTCATACATATACATATATGCTCGTGCACACACAAGTGAATGTATATATATATACATATATATATATGCAACTCTGTGTGTATATGTTATGTATATGTATGTATAATATTATTTCCTTCTTGCCACTGACCTGTAGGAACAACCCCAGACCCAGTCAGCTGAAGAAGGAAGGTCAGAGCAGCCTTCTCTGACCTGTGACCTGTGTCCTGCCTTCGCTCCCTCAGACGGCCCTAGTCTGTCATGTGAGGCAGTGGGTGTGGACATTTTCTCATTTTTCGTTAGAGGAAAGAGGCAGCGCCACAGGGGCCTCTCTTTCAGGGGCGGTAGAGGTGGGCCAGCCTCAACATCTGCCTGACTAAAGGGGCTATGACCAGTGGGCTCAGAGCTTGCTGTTTGCTTTGTCCACGGCTCCTTAATGGAGTCAGGCACTTGTGACAGTCAGGCCCTGCTTGACCCAGAGAGTTCTTACAAGGTAGTGCAGGCCCTGGGAGCCTAAGGCTGGGCTGCCCAGGGCCCACAGCAAGGAAGCCCCCGTCACTGAGATGGGATAGGTCACACCTGAGGGGTTGTCACTGAGCCCAGTTCCCTACAGGTGATGGAGCCAACTTCCAGAAGCGTGGCTCATTGCTGTGGAACCAGCAGGATGGAACCTTGTCTGCAACACAGCAGCAGCTCAGTGAGGAGGAGCGGGGCCGGCTCCGGGTAAGGTGGGGCCCAGGGCTGGCCCCCGAAGCTGGATGGGCTTGGCTCCTAGCTCACCCACCCCTCCCTTTGAGGTACCTTCCTACCTTCCCAAGAGGGAGCCCAGAGCAAGAGGTTCCTTTCAAGTTTCAGCCTTGCCTGGGCTGGGCTCTGCCTGAAAACTGGCACGTTAGCAGCTGTATGTTGCCCAGTGTGAGGAACTAGTTTTGCTGCAGTGACCATTGCCCAGATGCCTTCTGTGTGCAGGAAGGCATCAAAAGGCATGCTGCCTGGTCTCCATGTGAATCTCTGCCCAGCTGCCCCCACAGGCAACCATTTGTGGTACCTGGCGTAGGTGTGTGGGGTGGGGAGGTGTGGCTGGACCCAGACGTCCTCCTGGATGCACACTGTTGCCGATGGGGCCGTGATGTGTTCCGTGGCTTCTCCGCCAGGGGAGGACAGCCCAGCTGTTTTAGCCTTACTTGGTAGCCAGGGAGAAGAGTGCCGGGCAGACCCTTGTCAGCCCAGGGGTGGTGGAAGGTGCTTGAGGGCAAGGCTGGGGAAGCATTCTCTTGGCCAGCTTAGTGGACTGGCCCTGCCCAATTCATGGGCCTCTGCATTTCCTGCAGAATGTGGCTGCCGTCAACGGCCTTTACAGAGTCCGGGTCCCCAGGCGGCCTGGGGTACTTGATGGTTCGGAAGCTGGTGGCTACGTGTCTTCCTTTGTCCCAGCGGTAAGTCACGGATGAGGGAGGGCTCCCGACATCCCCATTCCTGCCTGCCTCGGTGTCCACACCCTTCGTGGAACCCCACACAGTGGGGCCCGGAGGAACTAACTGTTCAGCTTCAGCTCCTGCAGGCAGTGGCAGTCCAGGGCCCTGGGGATGGGGTGGGGACGCTGGAGGGTGCCTGCGCATGTGCAGCAGAGCTAAGTAGCTCCCCTGAGTACTCCCACCCCCCCACCTCCCACAGTGCTCCCTGGTGGAGTCACACCTATCAGACCAGCTGACCTTGCATGTGGACGTGGCTGGCAACGTGGTGGGGCTGTCGGTGGTAGCGTGGCCCGGCGGCTGCCGGGGCTCTGAGGTGGAAGACGAAGATCTGGAGCTGTTCAATACATCCGTGCAGCTGCGGCCTCCGGGCACCGCCCCAGGGTGAGTGAGGGGGGAGTCTGGGGCCACTGGCTGCCCTAGGCACCCAGGTACTGGGGCTCTGACCCCCCTTTGCCCCTCCCTTCCCATGTTTAGCCCTGAGACTGCAGCCTTCATTGAACGCCTAGAGATGGAGCAAGCCCAGAAGGCCAAGAACCCTCAGGAGCAGAAGTCCTTCTTTGCTAAATATGTGAGTGTGGCTCCTTCTATCCCCCAGCCCTCCCCACCCCAGCAGATGGCCTGTGTGTGTTCCTCTGGTGGGAGGCTGAGGGCTGTGCACCCCATCTAGTAGTCCAGGGCTGAGCAGCCCTAGAAGCCCAAGGCCTGGGCGGGGCTGGGCGGGGCCGGGCATCTATCTGTCTGTATGCACAGGCATCCCAGTCAAGCAGTGTGGCAGGTAGCTGGCGATGGACAGACAAGCTGTGGCCAAGAGGGGAGGGGCAGCCCGGTGTTCAGAGACGTGAGGGAGCTTGAATACGTTGAAGCCATGGGAGGCGCAGGGCCAGGTAGTTGTGGAGTAGTGTAAGAGGCGCAGGTGGAGGTGTGGAGAGCCCAGGAGGGTCGTGCTGGCCTGAGGCGTCTGTAACGCCCAGGCTCTTGAGGGGGCTGGGGTGAAGGGGCAGACCCTCCTGAGGAGGCGGCTGTACGTCGTCCTCCATCCCTTGAGGCTGGAGACTTAGTGCCGGGCCCAACAAGGTAAGGCCAGCATGGCCAGCAAGGCTCCAGGTGAAGTGGGAGGGCGGGGCCAGTGACGCTGAGCCAGGCACCTCCCCCTGGGGTCTCAGAAGCCCCCACGTGAGGAACCGAGGCGGGCCGGCAAGCCTCAGCCCTCGCTGACCTGCCTCCCCCCTCCTCCCTCCTCCCTCAGTGGCACCTCATCCTGGGGGGGGCAGTGTTGCTCACAGCCCTGCGTCCTGCTGCCCCAGGGCCTGCGCCAGCGCCAACGGAGGCCTAAGTGAGGACCCAGACCCCTGCCCGCCTTGCCCTCTGCCCACACCCTGCTGCCCCGCCCCGGCCCCCGCCCTGCCTGTAGTGACTAGGGGACCCAGCCCCTCCCTCCCATGGCCCTCGTCGGGGCCAGCGTCACCACTTAATCCCTTCCTCTCTGTTCTTTGTCTGCCTGTCCCACCTGCAGTGGATGTACATCATTCCAGTTGTGCTGTTCCTCATGATGTCGGGAGCTCCAGACGCCGGGGGCCAGGGTGGGGGCGGGGGTGGGGGCAGCGGCCGGTGAGCAGCTGCGCCACCTACAGTCCCCCAGAGCCTGCTGCCTTGGCCAGCTCAAGAAGGAGTTCCTGTCCCTCCATGTCCGTGTTGCATGAGCGTGGAAGGCTGTCCCTTCAGGAGCCTGCAGCCCATCTTGCAGCGCCCTCATCCTCTCCCTGAGCCTCTCTGTTTCTGTGACTGAGAGATAGGGTGCACCTCCCTGTAACCACCTCAGGCCCACTGGCTTCCCTGGGCCTTTGCTAAACTCCCAGGAGCCCCGCCCCCCCCCCCTCCGCCATGCAGTTTGGGAACATGCCAAGCTCTCTCCAGCCTCTGCCTTTGTCCTCCATGCCCCCCTCACTGTCACACTTAGTGTCCTTGACAAGGGTATGTGGCAAGGAGGCCTCTGTTGCTGGTGGCTGGGTCTGCCTCCCAGTGTGTAGAAGCTCCCAGCCCACTTTCCGTGTGCTGTGCTGTGCACCCTTCCTGGTGCCCCAGAGCACCTTGGTGACTTCCACCACCATCTTCTCTGTCTCCAGATGTCCCACTCTGGGTATGGTACCAGGAGAGAATTGTGGGTGAGGTCGTTAGTCTGTCTTTGTGAATGTGCGCCGCAGCAAGCAGTTTTGAGCCAGCTCTGAGCTGGCAGCTCACTCCACAGCTGCTGTGCACTTTCTTGCAGATCTGTGGCCATGGCCACGGAGACTGCTGTGTCGTCTCAGCTGTGTTGTGTGGCTGTCGATTAAACTGTCACCTAAACAGCCACCGTTCAGCTTGCTTCCTGCCTTCTGTGGTTGTAAATAGTTCTGGATGGCTGCTGCCACTGGCCTGATTTATGTTTGAGTGGCTTCCTCAGGACATGTTATAGAGGGTTGCCTGGGACAGGTTAAAGTTTCTGTGAGCTGCGCTGCAGGAGGAGCCTGGTTCCCGCCCCTCCTGGCAGGTTCGCATCCGTTTCCCAGCTTTCCCAGCGCGTCTACACGTGGTGTCCCAGAGCCGCATAGGTTCATATTGTCTTCCTCATACTCACACTGGGTGGTCAGGGTGTAACCTGGGGTCCTGTGTTGGTGCATTTGGTACCAGTTGGAATCCCAGCATTCAGCAGGCTGAGGCTGCCAGCCTGGGCTACATAGCTAGACCTTGTCTTTGAGAACCAGTGGGGTTCAGTTGGTAGGGTGCGTGCTCCCCATGCATGAAGCTGTGGGCTCCCTTCAGCAGTGCGTGATCCAGCTCTGCACGGTAGGGCATGCTCCTGGTGAGCACTCAGGAGCCAAGAGCATCAGAAGTTCAAAGTGTTGCTTAGCTGCTTAGGTTTGAGACCAGCCCAGGCCACTCTGCACTTTTCAGTCTGCCCTGTGAGGGCCAGTTTCCTCAGGCTGGGGGCTGCAGGTGTGACCTGGAGTGTGAGTCACCTTTGGGCTGCGACGGTGCGCCACATGACAGGAACAGCTAAAGGGAGGGAAGACTGAACAGGCTCTTGGCTTCAGAGGGCTTGGGCTCTTCCCTGTGGGGTTGGCCTGACAGGGCTGCTTCGTTTATGGTGGACGCTGCCCATCATGGTACACAGGAAGCTGAGAGACACGGCAGTATGGGTCAGACGACACCTGTAAAGGCACGCCCCTCAAGGTCTACTCGCTCCCGCTGGGTTCCATCTCCAGGGAAAGTTCCATAACCTAGGAAGTTGCTAGCTGGGATGTGAGCCTGTGAGGGATGTTTCACCGCCATACGAGCACAGTGCTGCAGTTACACAAGCCTCCTCCCCATCAGGCCATCCTCGGGTGTGGGCTTGGAAACTACCTTCTCACCTGTCCATCTCAACGTCGGCTCATGGCAGTGTGAGCTTGTGGCGCCCCTTTCCCGAGCCTCCATGCCCTCAGCTTCTCCCTGGGTGGCATGGCTACTCGGCCCCCTGCACACCATAGTGTGACAGATGGCCTTGGTCCCAGGGGTTTGGCCAGTCTTGTCCCCTCAGTGTTCATGGAAGCTGACTGCTTTGTACGGAACAGTGGCCTAGCATCTTGCCAACTTCCATGGTGACCAGGAGGGTGACAGCAGCAGAGTCTGTGCATCCTGTCCCATTCTGTGCTGGCCTTTCTTGGTTACTACAGAGGCACACGCTCTTGTTTTTTTCTGGAAGGTCTATTATGAAAATCTCAACCCTTCGAGGTGCTGCCTCCTGGCAGGGGTGTAGCTTAGTGGTTAGATGCTTGGCCACCATGTCTAAGGAAGACTGGGCTCCATTTCCAGCACTGCCAAACAATCCAGAATATATTAAGAACTAAAATAAGGGCAAATGAGCCAATGAATAGACTACCCTGAAAGGGTGAGAAACATTAAAGATGAGGAATGTTCATGGGTGTGGCTTGGGTAGACTGCTTGCCCATTACTTGAGCCGCCCAGGGTTCAAACAGCAAAAGCCTATGTTGAGATTCTGCCTCACCCCAGCCAGTTAAAACAAGTGCTGGCGAGGACGTGTGTGATGTGGAACACGCTGGGAATGCAAACCATCCTAGCCTCTGTGGAAACGGGCACACAAGACTCAGGACACTGGTGGTGTCTTGCCACCATACAGATCTGACCCAGCTCTGCCTTGTGGGCATTTGCCTGGAACCCTGGAAGTCAGTATTCCACAGAAGAGCTCCCACACGGTGGCTGCAGAGCATGGAACCTACCCTTGGTGTCCAGTGACAGCAGAGTGGGTGCGGAACATGTACATGGAGTTGTTCTCAGACAAAGAATGAAGCCGTTCACAGGAAAATGGATGCAGCTAAGCCTGGCTGAGAAACACCGAACATGAAGCCTCTCTCTCATTTTGGCTCCTAGACTTTATAGAGACGATCCGAAGTGAAACCATTCAGAAGTGTCGAGCGCTATCGCCTTGCCTGCAAGAACAACGCTCAACAACAGGATTCTTCTGCAGCTATGTTTATTGCGCGACTCATTACAGCAAGTTGAGGGAAGACCCAGAGGAGGAAAAAGGGCTCTGCTTATATAGAGGAGCTGTGTCCGTTACTGACAGTTGCAGCGGAGCTGTGTCCGTTACTGACAGGTGCAGCCCGCAACGCTCGTAACGGTCACCCCATGACGTGGATCGCACATCCGTGCCTTGCTGGCTTATTGACAGGAAACCGGTGCCATCTTCGGGAATGGCACCGGTGGCTCTCTACAAGAAGGACAAAGAATAGCAGGAGAGGGAGAGGAGGCGGGCTGGGTACATACGGCAGATTCGCTCTCATACTGTGTCCACATGTTTGGGGCTGGTGGGATGGTTCAGCAGGTCACTAAGCCTGATGACCTGAGTTCAATCCTGATGTCCTTGTGGTGGAAGATGAATGGCCCCTCACGGTGTCCTCTGACCTCCCATGCAGGTCATAGCAAGGTACAGTGCGTGAGAGAGAAGAACGGATTTTATAATGTGCATGTGCCAGAACTTTGTGTTACAGAGTCATCAATGTTTTAGGGGGTGGCGCTGTGCTGTCTCTAGCTGGTGGCTTTCCCTTGGTTTCCAGTCAGTGCTCCTGTGCTCCAGCTGCTAAATCCATTAGCCTCCCGGGCTCTGTCCCAGCTGAACTGCAGCTCTGTGGCTCTGCAGAGAGCTCACTGTCCAGAGTCTAGGGATCTGGACATAATGCCGCACAAAGCTTTCTATTCTCTCAACCGCTGTCCTGTGCAGACAAAGCAACAGCGGTCTCTGCAGGACGGTCTTGCAAAAGCCTGCAGCTCTTGTGTGACACTGGAGAAGGCTCTGGCTGCCACCTTCCACGTGTAGCTTATTTTTTCATGGGTCTTTGGGTCTGCTTGTTCAGTGCTGCAGGAGACTCGTGCGTGCGTGCGTGCGTGCGTGCATGTTTTAACGTATGTATCTGTAGGATGCTTGGCAGGATCTGAGCTGGGTGTGTACATGTGCATTCTCACTCCTTGGGCCCCATTGCTGCTGTGCATCAGCTACGGTCGGTCCCACGCTTGGCTCTCTGTGCCCCTAGATCCAGACTGCAGCCACAGCTGCCAGCCAGCTGCCTGTGCTTCTGCCCCTGCGTAGTAGTGGCCCTTGGGTCATTGCTCCAGAAATGCTGTCACTGGCCCAGCCTCAGGACAGAGCCCTGCTCTGCAACAGCCCCTATCCCACTATTCCTGCCCCTCCAGGCTGCCCTACAGGTAGCCCTGTGGCCAGACACCCACCTGGAGCTATATCTGTCCCCTCCTGCCACCCTGGCCTTTGTGCCTATGGCATCCCTCGCTCAGTTCAGGCTTTTAACACCGGAGCTGACCCCATTGCTGCCCTCTCGTGGCTTCTAGCACCCACAGGACAAACTCTTAGCCCCCTCGTTCTGGCCTGGCATTTGATGCCTATAATTAGTGCATCAGGCTAGGCTTAAACTCTGCAGCCCCTGGGGCTCCCACCTCCTTCCACAGTCCCCAGGTCCACTTATCTGGTCTCAGCTTAGCCTTTGATCCTCTCCTGGACCCTTCCCAGCTTGCTGGGCTCAGGCAGAAGATGAAGGAAGCTCGGGGTGGACTATCCCTCATTCTTTGCCCCATCCATGGACGCCCTTCTCAGTTCCCAGGAAGCTTCCTCTTTCTGGTTTCTAGCCTTAGGCGGCCTTAATCTGTCCTTGGCTGCTTTAATACTGTGTGTGACTCTGCTCCTGGAGTTCTGGAGGCTTCTTACCCTCCTGCTCTGACCGGAGCAGGAGCCCTTCTTGGGCTTCTAGCTGTTCCCACTGTCCTGACTAAAGTTTATATGTCAACTTGACACAGGCTAATCGTCTGAAAGGAGGAAACTTCGATTAAGAAAATGCCTCTATTGAGATCCATCTGGCTGTAGGGCATTTTTTCTTTGTTCTTTTCTCCCCCCCTTTGAGACGGGGTTTCTGTGTGAACCCTGGCTGTCCTGGAACTCACTCTGTAGAGCAGGCTGGCTGTGAACTCAGGAGATCGCCATCCTCTGTTAAATGTGCATGCCACCACCAACTGGCTGCATTTTCTCAATTGTTGATGGGGAGGCCCGGCTCATTGTGGGTGGTGCTATGCCTGCTGACCAAGCCATGATGAGCGTCCCTCCGTCTCTGCATCAGCTCCTGCCTCCAGGTTCCTACCCTGTCCTGACTTCCCTCAATAATGGACTACATGTGGGAGTGTGAGCCAAATAAACCCTTTCCTCCCTAACTTGCTTTTGGCCATGGTGAATCACAACAATAGGAACCTGCCCACCATGGCTTGCACCCATCTTCCATTTAGCAAGATGATGGGTGTGCGCAGACCTGCAGCAGGTTTGTATAGTCAAAGACCATTCTCCATTCTACCCCCCTGGTATGCCCGGGGTCCACCCCCTGGAGTGCACACACCCAGTCACCATTGAGTGACTCACAGTGTAAGGCTCAGAGGTATAAGACTTCACAGTATCTGGTTGAAGACTTGTCATTCCAGCTCGGGAATAGAAGCACGGGGATCAGGTTCAAGGTCACCCTTGACGGCATAGGGAGTTCAAGGACACCCTGGGCAGCATGAGACCCTGTCTCAGACAAACACACACCAAACACTTGCTGTGGTTGTTTCTCTATTAGAAGTAGAAATATTCATTTTTACAGAACTTTCCATATTCCTTCACAGCTTCCCTTGCCCAAACTGTCCTTTATTGGGGACAAATTCCAGTGCCTAATATAACTGGGTTGCAGTTCCATTCTGTGCCAACAGGTGGTGACAGTCCCATTTTACACACACACACACACACACACTCCATCTGTGCTGGGTGTGTCATGTTGGTCCTTCAGGCAGGTGAGTCCTGAGACGTCTCTGTCCTAGGAGCTTCGGTCTTCAGTGTCCTGCAGGTGTTGCACAGATGTTTTCATCTGGAAGACTGTAGCCAACTGAGGCCTTCCATTGCTGATGCCTGAAGAGGGTGGAGGGCCTGG